TACTATATTCTGTACACCTAAGATCATTATGGCTGTTATTATTTTACTTTCAAAAAAAGGTATATATGTTATTTTCTAAAAGAAACTTGTCTTCTTTAGATTGTTTTAAAACCTTGTATGGATTTGAGAGAAATTTTTTACGGGCTTTTGCTCACCCCCTATAACACCACATTTACAAATTTTGGCATAGAAAAGAATGTCAATGTGGATGAGCAGGTTAACTACGAGGCAATAGAGAATCAAGATATGGATTCTGCCTTGGAGGAGTAGAGGTGATTCTTTATTTGCCGGAGTTTGAGAGAAATTTATGAAATAATGTTTTAATTCGATTTAATTATTCTATTGCCAAATACATTTTAGTTTTAAGTTGTAAGTTGAAAAAATTACATTGTTTTATTGAATTTATTTATTCCTTATTGAATGGATGGATGTTTTTGAATTTAAATGGTTATTTTTAGTTGCTTGAATGCTTCGTAGATAACAATACCTTCCAAGGTGGATTTTGGGTCATTACAAAATATTTTTTTTGGAGATCTCTTTTATGTTTTCTTGAAACTATTTTGTTTGACCTTTATGGAACTACAATTCTTTATTATACATGGGCTTTATGTTATACATGGGCTTTATACAAAAAATATCTCTTGTATAGGTGGGTGTGTGATGACCGTAGGTTACATTTGACCATATATTGTAGGATACTTAGGTGTGTTTCTTACCTTGAAGAGTTTGAAGGTTTCCTATCACCCGTATTAAAAGTTGTTTGGTTCGTTGTGAGGTTCAAGAATTCACATTCTTCGCACACAAGGATCGAGGCTGAGGACTAGTATAGTATTCCTGGATTAGATTCGTCACTACTGATGCGTCAGTATATGCCTTTTCTAAAATAGTGTATCCTTGCGATGATTGGTTAGAGGATTTTGTGTGTGTGTGTGTGCGCGCACACGCGCTAGGATATTCTTAATATGTAGATTCATACTAGTCTACATGTGTACATGAGATATATATTGATTGTGATCATCTATTGTTTTGAGAATTATTTCTTATTCTTATTAGTTTACTATTTGGTACTGTAAACTTGAGATCTTGTTAACTATCATAACTTTACTTCAAATTATTATAATACTATTTTATAAACGGTGACTTACCTGTTTTATGATTTCGAAACCTTGTGTGGATTTGAGAGAATTTTTCTATCGAGCTTATTGGTTTATCCTACAATATAAAACATAATTTCAAATTTTGGCTTTGAAGAATACTTAATCCTATATGAATAAGTTGATTGGAATGTTGAGGTGAATCAATACGTGAATCTAGATTCAGTGGCTGAGAGATTTTTTTTAGTTTAAATTTCTGAATTATGGATGATTGGGTGAATGTTTGAAACATTCGTTTATTAGTTAATTGAAAGATTGTTATTTTGGTTTTTGAATGTAAACCTAAGAAATCATTTATGGTTCTTTCAAAAATTTATCTAGTTAGCATTTGAATGTGGAAATTTTTTTTATTATTTAATGATTATCTTAAATGTTCTTATGGTTGAATATTGTATAAATAGTGATGCATTTTAGAGTGGATGTTGGGGCATTACATGATCCCATGCTTTCATCTGGACTTTTAGCTTATAATGGGGATCGACCCATACTTTTTGTGGATCAATCCAAGTGAATAGATTTCAGAGGAGTTTTGAGAGACGTGAACTGCACTAACTTGTACCAATGCCATACTATAATCATACGCCTATGCTATTGAGAGGTGGATCCATTCTTCCTAACCAAGCAGCTTTTTCACTTATTTTATTATTTATTTTCATCACAATTCTTAAAAATCTAGCCATAAATTGTGAGTAGTTTTTTTTTATTGTTTCTAGTTAAGCTTAAAGGATGTGTAATTATTTATTTGGATTTTTGTGTTTATGCAATTTATATTTTGATGTCAATGTTAAGCTTTTATTTATTCAATTAATTGAATGTTCGTAGTAAAATTTCGTACTTTGTACATTTATTTTATTATTTATCAACAAGATTGATTTTTTTTTTGGTATGAATAATGCTTATAATTCTCTATAAGTATTTTAATTAGTTTGTCAAAATTTATTTCCAAATCAATCAAACTAATTGATCATTTATCAACATATTTTTCAGTTGACTATTATGATGTTGGAAATTAACTGAAATAATCAATATTGCATAAATATAATTTTTGGATAAATATGAATAAACTCAGATCTCGAAACTAGAAAATTATTTTTCAAATTATTATTAATCCTAAATTTACTTTTTCAATTGTTTTCTAATCAATTCTATTTTTACAAAACCTTTTCTTTCTTATACTTTATTAAATTTATTCATTCCCTGAGAATGAAGCTGAACAACGTCAAGTATTACATCTTCACCACTTTGATTTTGATGTATCATATTACGGATCACGCAGTTACTTTTCCTCCACCGAAATTGGCCGTGGCCGTTCAACACGTTTCCATCTTTTGGCTGTTATTCAGAATTGTTTAACCTACACTTCACATTCTATCCTGTTTGCTTCAACGCTTAGGTGTCTATCTTGTTCATTCAAGGACTTTGTTTTCATCCACTGTAGCCATTTTCCTCCATAGCCGTCGGCTTATTGAATCTATTAAGCATATGGGCCAGTGTACTCCTTATCACATCATTGGGCTTAAGTACTTGGGTTTCAAAATTGGTACCGGGTATATGTTTCCGTTCGTTAGCAAGGAGGCATAAATATAGGAAGAATTTCTTTGACACTGATTGTACTTCAAAAACCCCGTGGTTAAAGATGGTGATCTTTAAAATATTTGTCACTTAATAACTTAAATTACCTGATGTTTAAAATATTTTACATAAACTCCTTCAGATTTGTATAAAGGTAACACTTAAACTTTTACTGTTAATGTCTATTAGTAAATTATATTCAAACTTTCTGATGTTTGTAGATATATAATACTTAGATCCCTTAAATTTAAAATATTATAGTTAAACTACTTATTAGTTACAGAACTAATAAAATCTATTAAACGACCAAATTATTTCAATTAAAGATAGAATATATTGTATCTATTACGATTTGACCTCTTGTTTGGTTTTTTAGATTTATTCCAATTGATAGTATAATTGTACTAATTAGGATTTTTTTAAGAAAAAAAATAGATTTTAAATTTTGATTTTATTTCAATAAATGACATAATATAACATAAATTTTAGTTGTAAAATGTCAAATATTCTATTTTTAATTGATATATTTTTGTCAAAATATAATATTTTAAACTTAAACACTTTAAATAATACATACCTAAAAATAGGGGTGTCAATTTTCTCCGTTAACACGAACTCGAAAATAATACGATTAGTTGATATAAGTAATAAATTTGTCAAATTAAGGTTCGACACGAATAACACAATTAATGAGTACTATAGATAAAAAATAATTATTTAACGAGTATTATAGATAAAAAAATAAGAATTTTATAATTTTTTAAATAGTTTTATATTAGTTGTTGTCAAATTAAATAATTTTTTATTGACACGAATATTGACACGAATCCAACACGTACCAAAAGTGATACAACATAAAAAAAACACGATCGAAAGTAACATGACACGAAACTGATAAAACACGACACGATTAACACTCCTACCTAAACTTCAGGGGTTTGATTTTAATTTACTAACGGACATCGATGATAATAGTTTAAGTGTTATATGCGTACAAAATTTAGGAGCTCTATGTGTAATATTTCAAATGTCAATGATTTAAGTGATAAAGTGACAAACCTTAAGAGATTTGAGTGAAATTCTCCATAGTATCAATTTTTTGTTTTTGCTCAATTATAAAAAGATCTACAACCCAAATGTTGTATGTTCAATATTGATCCCAGAGACACTATAGATTTGAATTAATCATATCATGATGTTATGTGTTCAATGTTTACCCATGATTGCCTCCCCTGAATGGTCTATGTTGCAATACCTTTAGGACTCGTTTGGTAGACGTATTATAAAAAGATTAAATATTGAATTATACTATTTTTTTATCTAATCAAGTTTAATACTTTGATCGTATATTTTTTATATAATAGACCTATATTATGAAGGTATTTTAATATCACCAAAAAAAGTGGTATTATAACCCAAGTCAAACGTATTATTTTACACATTTACTATTATAACCCCTTAATTGATAAAATCAAATTGTTATCAATGTAACAAACACTGATTGAAGATATTTTTGTTAATTCAACTTTAATATGATTAAATAATTTCCTAACCAAACAACTAATTGAATTAAATAATTATTATTCAACGTTTATATTGTGTATTACCAATACTAGATAAAATTATGCATTATTCTAATATCTTATTTAATTTTATTTTTTGTCCTTGCATATTATATTTCATTGAATTATTTTATATAATTCAATCATTTTTATTATGACAATCAAACCAATCCTTATAATTTTGATCATATCACGTTATATAAGTATACAACTTGTACTTTAATTATTATAATATATTTTTTTAAAATTATAAAAATTAATTGTTGTGGACAAGACAGGAGCAAAGACAGGGAGGAAGGCAAGGACGAATGACAGGAATTAAATTTTAAGGAAAAATGAAAACTAAAACTTGTCGCGTTAATATGAACCAAAGATGGACGAATTTTTTTTTAAGTGAATATGTCCACTGTTATTCTGAATTAATTGCTGTCAAGTTCTTGATTTGAAGGAGCTTGTCCTGAAATTTTTGCAGAATCTTTACTGAGGTTAAGGAGTTTCATGAGTCCTGTTTTGGCCATGATTCGATTGGCCGCAAGCAATAGAGGAAGTTAAGACTAAGAAATATATAGGAAAACATCTATATAACATTCGATTATGGTACGACACTTGAGTCAGGAAAATAAAGTATTAATATAATTCTGTTATGAATGACTTATCTTTGATTGCACTGAAGAGAAAATTAATCAAGATACGTGTAAACTGACCCAGACACCCTGAATCGTTGAACCAGAAAAAAAAAAGTACTCGAGCATCAGGCCACAAGGGGATAAAATAAAATTTTCAAAAATAATAGAGAAATAAAATCAAACATTCAACATCAGATGTTACCCGAGCTTCCATATGTACGTTGCAAGCATTGCTACTAACCATATTGAAACGAGCAAATTTCCAAGCTCAACTCTATTGTTCTTGAATTTTCGCAAGCCAATTATCGCAGTTCTATGACAAAATGCAAATCTGAATTCCCAAGATGACATCTACATTGACGGCATTAACAAGCGCACAACACAGAAGGACTAGTTTAGAATGAAACCAGAGACTTCAAATGGGTAGAAGACTGCAACTGAGATGAAGCAGTATCACATTCCTCGTGTCCATCAAAATCTGGAGGTGGTGTCCCACTGATATCCTTCCTATAAAATAAAAGGAAACCTTATCAAAGTTTTTCAATGTCATACCTACATTCTGATGTCGAAACAAATGGTAACAAAAAAATAAAAAGACCAAACTATTTTAAGTTATGGCATGTAAATAGTTTGCATGTCACGAATAACCAAAATTCACTCAGGCTACTCCAGATAACTTTTCATTTCATCAGCAAATGCATCCATGCAACATCTATTTTTCATAGTTTACTTGTGGTGTAGCAGCACAGAACATTTTACCATCAGCTTTTATTCTTCATATTGAGAGATGAAAAAATTGATGTCACATTTAACCATTAATATCCCTAGATGCCAGTTTCACTCATTACACAGAATAGTTAGTATACAAAGGAGTGGCTAGACATGGATAAGTATTCAAACATCTTGCACAAACACATGTGAAATGTTTCAGATTATTTTCTGCATTAGTTTCCTCACTTTACTCGTTTAAAATGTCATATGAGATAACATTTATACCCTGCTAGGAGAAGCACCTAGAACTCATCTTGATCCAATGAGCAATCTTGACACGGCTTCTCCAAGACAAACAAAACAAGAACTGCTGCCCGTCACATGTCAATCACAACTTTGAAACAATGAGCTTTCACGTGTTACCCTAAAGCACTTGTAACCTTTTACCCTCTAAAGGAAGCAATAAGTGAATATATGGTACATTCTAAGTCTTCACCAAGACAATATCATGATGACAAAATGAAACCAAAAAGTGGCAGCAAGAAGCGAGCATGCCATACCTAGAGATAAAAGTTTCCTCAGACAATGCCTTTTCTAATCTTTCCTCGAATGGTGTTGCATGCCAACTAACTTTCTGATCCTGTAAGCAAGATGGCAAGGTAACCATTTTTTTCTGTCGTAGCTTTTAATGCAAGGCAGGACAAAAAAATAAATACAGGCAGCAGCAGAAGATACCTCTTTGTACTTGGTAGTTGAATTTGGAATTCCATTTCCATCCCACCACTTGGGAGAGATACGAGAAGGTTCATCTTCATTCCAGTGGGCAGCAACCATCCCAAGGATAGGTCGATCCCCAAGAGTCCTCCGACGACAAGCATTGTCACTAAAAATCGCACCAAAGTGTCGATTATTACCTTCCAGATTGGTTGGCTGTGGTTTCAGCCAAGAAGACAAACTTGCTTCCACTTTCAACTCTTTCTCCACGGAAGTTTCACTCATCCTTCCTTCTGAATTAGAGCTCACATCATCAGCCTTCTCAAGAGATTCTCTCAGCTTACTTGTCATTTGATTGGAGCTAAAATCCTCTTCCTTCAATACCTCCCACTGAGACAAATCCTCAACGGGGTTCATGACTGAGTAAACATATTGAGACCTGATCCGAAGGTTCTTCCCATTTCCCATATTTTGTAGATATGAAGGGAAAACAGTTCCAGGTGTTTGCATCTCATCCGTTAGCTTTAAAGGGGTTGGGTAAGGATAAGACTTTGATACACTGTAGTTGCCTGTTGAGTCAGTTTGCTTGGAGATATGGCTAGCAATTTCAGATGAAGAGCTTTCTGAAGAGAGTGAAGAGGCATCAGACTTGCAGTCAAAACGAACGGACTTGTTCCTGCACTGTGAACTTGCAGCAAAACGCCTGGTTCTAACTGAAGTGGAAGCTGACTCATAAGAATGATCAGAATGAACCTTAATGGTCATGTCAACATCCCCAACCCCACTGCCTTCCGTAGTGCTGGCAGAGAGCCTTTCTGTATTTTGGTCAATGGCTGTACAGCTGTAGAAAACATGTAGAATCACAAACATGTCAGAACATATACAATATTAAACAAAAGAAATCAAAGGGCTAACACGCTAAGTACACACACCCAACACGTGAACACTAACCCGCCACAAGTGAGACCATTCAAAGTAAAAGTGAAACCGAAAATGCCAGAAGATCAACAAAATTTTGCAATAATCTTAAAAGGGGTATCTAATGTTTTCTTCAAACCCTTTAAGAAGATAATACTGTAAATAGCAAAATCGGATTCCTAGATAATGGCATCTTGCAATAGAATCTAGTGTGTGCCAGGTCTTTTTCTCAGTAACACAACAAAAAATAAAGAATATAATCTGAAATGGCATGGGATCCTTAACACTGAAATCACACATGCCTGGTCCCTTTCTGATCTAAAAGCATACTTAGTGAGGATTTGGAAACAACTAGGATTAGTTGGTTGCTTTAAAGCAATTCACAAAGTTTGGAACAAGGACCTGATAGGTGTTTGCAACGAAGAACCTAAACCTTTTACCCCTTCACAAAGTTTGATAGGAGTAGGAGGCTGATCAAGTTGCTTCTCCAAATTGAGTGTTTGGATCGTATTGCTGGGAAGCCAGGTATGGAATTTTGAAGAATCTGTAGCTCCATCATTAAGTGATGAATCTTTCAATTTCTCAGACACTACACGAATTTCAGCTGGCGTCTCAGGTAAAGTACCACAAGCTTTGAGGAACTTGGCCTGGAAAATAAAATTTAGTCCAAACTACAGCAATGCAAAGTTAGGAGAAGCATCCCATCTTTGTGATATAAAAGTGCTGGAAACCAAGTGAAAACTTGACTTCATATGCAAAAAGGATACAAATACTCATAGAACTAAGACAGCAAGAACATTAACAAACTAACAGTTCTCACGTGAATTTTTGCTGACATTTGATGTGATAGGTGAACAATGACTTTTGCAAGACAAGATACTTAATGCAGCTCAATAATGGGAGCAAACACTTACTAGGAGAGTATGAAGAACTCTATAGATGAATAACCACAAACCGTAACTAAAGTAAGACCCAGCATCACAAAACAGATAAAAAGTAGAGAATAAACAAGTACATCGTGTGTAAAATTTGCTGAAATTATGCAAAAGGGCCAGATTGTATTAAAAAGATATCTATCAGTTCCCAAAGACCAAGCATTTGCTAAACAGCTCATTTAATATAATACAAGTGCATGAACCATAGAATCACTAAAATGTGAGTAACAACAAACAGGATGTGTAAAAAACTTCCAAGTATTCAAGGCACTTCAAAGCTTCCAAAGAACTGTGTGCATACCAACAAAGGCAGATTAGAAGGGGAACAAACTAAGAAAGAAAAGAACAGAGGAAAGTGTAGTGGCAAGGGAGCTAGAGAAGGAAAGAGTAGAGGGGAAATGTGTGTCATGATGTCATCCTTTTACAGTATCTAGTAATTTCCACAATTTTTTTTTCAACTCAAAATGTGGATGTGATACTAATCTGTAGAGATAAACGCCATCTTCATACAGAAATGTGGTAGATTAAAACAAGATTCATATAGCGCACCCCAAATATTTTTGTTAAGTTGAGTTATCTGGAACCCAAAAATGGACATGTGAGGCTGCCGAGCACAATATTTTGGTGGCATCCCTACAGGTATTGTAATAGCTTAGTTGCAAAAAAGTACGAAACAAAATGACAAATATTCGAATATTTTAATAACAACAGACCTCATTTTGGAGCTCTCTGACATCAAAATCAGGATCTGGCGTCCCCAAATCAACATTTTCCTTATCCTTACTTGGTGAAGCATCTTTCTCTTCAATCATAAACGAAAAGGGCAGAAAACAAGCACAATATAACTCAAAATCCATCACAAAAACTTGCATCGATAAGTAGAACACATGGGAACCAAGAAAAGGAACAATTTGTTTATTACATCGTATCCTCTGTTATATAAAATTATGTACCATTGGATCAGATATTCAGAAATGTACTTACCGAAAAAATATATATATTCAGAAATGAAATACCTTCAGAAAGTAGCAGAGACGATAAACGATTCCGATTCCGATTCCGATCCACCACGAGTTCCTGATGAATTTAAAACAAAAGAAACAAGAGAAATAACATCCTAGTAACTCAAATTCGGAATTCATTTCCTTTTTCTTTTATCGGCTTTTTTTCAAGCTTCTTAAAAAATGAGAGATAAAATTGAAACGTACGGTTGCGTTTCTAGGGAGGGGTTCGGAGATGAGGTGAGTCTGAGGGTGATGAACGCCGTCATCTTTGATACGGAAACAGCCGAAGAAACAACCCATCGCCTTTGCCGATCTGCGGAAGAACCCTAAAAAGTCTCTCTCGAACCACGAGCATATCATTTATTATGTCCCTCTCGGATTGTACGGATCAAGAACCCTAGCTTTTTTCCATGGGTCTTGTTCACAACTCAAATTCTAGAGATGATGTTTTAGAGAGAGAGAATCGCCGAGTGCGACTGTAGGTTCTATACTTCGCTCTATTGGTTTTTGAATTTTGAACGAGGGCTAGAAGAGGGAAGGAAAGTCATGGTTTCCCTCTGACGATTGCGGGGTTACGACGAATTCGCAATTAAATATATACCACTTCAACAATAAAATAGGTGATTTTGGCTGTATCATTTAAATTGTGTTTTTTTTTGTGTCGATTCCCAAAGTTTATTATTTTATTTAATACTTGACAAATAGTATATAAATATTTTTTGAGTATCATCAATGGCAGTTAGATGGTTTCTTTAAGATCGTTGAATAAATTTATTAAAATTTATTATATTTTATATATATTATAGATTAAGAAAAATAATTTTTAAATATTTAAAAAATTTACAAGTTACACTCCCAAGATCTTTTGGACTCGGCAAAATAATGGAAATTCAAAATACGTGCAATGACATACAAGTCATCCTACCTTGATTACATGAAAATCTTATTGTGAAACTCTATTTTATAAACTTGATATATATCAATCATTAAAGTCTTATCATTCCAAATATACAAACACTTTATATCCTTTTTGTTTAAAGTTGAAATAAAAAATTATATTTAATATAACAGTAACACCACAATATTATTGACGCTTAAGGATAGACAAACACTATGGCCTAGGGGGTTATTGACTCTCTTAGGTCTCAATTTAAAAAAAAAAAATCACGTTATTTTATATAATTTTTCATTTTGTTGTTAATTTTTTTAGTAATTATTATTTATATTTTTCTATTTAGTCCTCCCACTTTAATGTTTGGGTTCCATCACTTATGAAAAACAGTATCATAATTCTATAATATAAAACAGGTTAAATTTTAATAAGTTAATTTGACAGTGTTAAATAGACTCATTCAACCGTTATTAATATCTTTCTTAAAACTACCTACATTGCATTATACCTTCTAATACAAGTTACCTCTAATCCAATAACAAACTGTGAGATTTGCATCTTATAAATATCACATGTCTATCAAATTTTATTTTAAAGTTGTTGCATTAAATTAGAGAAACTTTTAAGATAAATGAACATGTTACTCCTCATTCTGCAGATGTGGTTCATTGTACACCATAAATGGGGATTATAATGAACTCCGAATGAGTTTCTCAAAAAATGAATGAAAGTGTAAATTACGATGATTAAATTTTCAAAATAAATTTTAATATCTAAATCTGCTAAAAGGTTAAATTACATTTTCAAAAAGAACAAAAAGTGGTGACCTTCTACCAAACCAGGTGATACTTCACCTACTAATCTAATGATGTGTAGGGTACCATTTAAACGCCTTAGGTTAGATTAGTTATCCTTTCAAAATCATTGCTTTTGATTAAGGGGGTTTGAGAGTATAGAAACTAAAATCATTTTAGATAATCACAATTTCAAAATCGGAAAGAGGAAAACTAAAAAGAATGCATATTCCTCCAATAAACTCAAAATTAACAGAATTCATTTGCAATGAAAAAAAAATGATATACTCCCTGTTAGATTGCCCTCTATTTAGTGAAAACTCAGGTGTTATTTGCAGCTTCATTGACACTAACTCCTATATCAAGTTTTTTTTTTTTTTTAATATGAAATTATCTCAACTCATGAAAGCGCTAATCTTAATTATTTGGAGTCGGTTGATGAATCATATTTGTGCTTTATCAAATGCCTAAAATATAAATTTAAATAATATTTTTATAAAAAAATTAAATTAAATTTATAATTAAATTAAATAATAAAATTATGTGTCAAATAATTAATTTTTATTATGCAGCATCCATTTATGCTTTATTGCTTTATCTTTCCTTTCACTTGATCGATTGAATGACTTTACAAAGCTCTCTACTTTGTATAAGTTGTTTGATTGTTTATTAACAAGTTAGACCTTGGTATAAACAATACTTACGATTCCCTGCAAGTATTTATGCTCGGTCTTTATATTTTAACATTCAATCACTGAAACATTACTTGTTGTTTATTGAGATATCTCCCGATTAACTTGCCATTGACGTACGAGTTAATTGAGTCAAACAGTTGCATAGTGTTACAATAAATACAAACAAGCATACCCAGATCATTACTTTCTTATGTCAGTCTCCCCATCTCAAAATAAGGACTTTAACTTTTAAATAGGCATTCTATGACTTGGATTGATAGGTATCCTCCTCTTTTCTTGCCTTTTTTTGAATTACCTCTGCTCCTTTTTATGCCTTAAGGCATTTTTCAACAGCTCTATCGATCTTACTGATGAGCAAGTCGATTGTCTTGGGGGTAGTGTTCTCCTTCCTCGCTACCTCCATGTAGGTGGCGCACTTTATGAATCTAAATACTCCAGGTGTGCTCTCAAAAATTACTCTCGCAGTTAGATAGCCAGACAATTTGGCTTTACTCAGCGAGTTCCAGTGCCTTTTATGCACTTCTTCATCGATGAACTTGCAACTCAAAGGCTTAAACTTAGATACCCTTATGCTATCTTATCTTACCTCTTCAACCTATAATAAATCTTTGAAGACCTTCTTTTTGAACACTTTCATAGGGAGCCATCTATTTCTCCCATTTTTGTGAAATGGTGACAAAGTGCTTCAACTTTGATCTTTGATGATAATCTAGATAGCTGCCTATCCAAACTGTGTTTTTCCAATCAACAATCAAATGACCTATCCTTTTTGCCAATAGATTTACTTAGGCAGGGTCATCCATAGTTAATCTGTAAACCCCCACATGTCTAAACTATCAACAATCGTCCAATTAGCTTCGTTTTGCATTTAACGTCTCCATTTACATCCTAAATTAAAATATAAGAATAATAAGTATATTTAGGCTCCAAATAAGTATAAAAGGCTAAATATTAAAAGAGAAAAAAATTTGACATTTTACATTCTCATCAATTAGCTAACTTAGAGGAATTAAAGAAAAATGTTGATGGCTATACTAGTTCTACATCATGTTGTTATAAATGATTCTAGGAGACGGATGATAATTTAGTTTTGGTTAATAAATGATGCTAGACATGGATCTTTATGCAAGCCATACTATCTATATTGGAGATGAGTATGAGATAAAATTTGTGACAAAAGACACTCAAACTCGAGTTAGACAAGTATAGAAGAACCAAGCAGTTCGGCAGACTACTTTTCATCAATTTGATCATAACTCTTTGTTGGAAAGTCCAAATTGTGAACCGTTATTTTTGTTAGAACTCTAACTCGTATATCTTTCCAACCATATAGTTCACACATATTAGAAATACCTGAGTCAAATCAGTTTATTCTTCGAAGTTGATCAAAAATCTGCACTGTGGTGTTCCTTGGATGGTAAAGTGTTGTGCTTTCTTCTTAGACTTGGAAGGTGTAAACCCTCACATGTTTATATTAATATAGTAATGTACTTGTTTAGTGATTCTTATATATGTAATGACGTAAGAATAAACAATATATATTGAAACCGTAAGAATAAATACTATGGAGGAATAAAATAGTAATTTTAATGTTTCGAGTGTAAATTTATTTTAATTTTGAAATAAATCATAAAAATAAATTTTTTTAGGTTAAAATAACATTAAAAATGAATCCGGAACATCGAAAAACCTTAAGGTAGTCATATGGATCAAATTGAAGATTCTTAGTGGCAAAATCATAATTTTGGAGAAACCAAAAATAGCCTGTGAACAGTAAAAATCGGGGCTGTTGTGTTTAAAAACTCATTTTCATTTCATTTACTCCCATTCTCTTCACTTCACTCTCACCCCACACCTCTTGGAACCTTAGAGGAAGATTAAGGAAGGACAAAAAGGGAAGAAGGAGATCACTAGAGCTTGGGTTCTTGCTTGGAATTTTGATTCAAATAGGGGTTTCTCTCACTCTTGTTCATTGAAGCTAGGGCCATATATATATATATATATATTTGACTCTAAATCTTAGATATGTGTTAATAAATCTTTGATGTTTGATATTCTTGCAAATATTATCATATTTAAAATAAGGTTGTGGTTGGATTGCCATGAAACCTCTATTTCTTGTTTTGAAACCTCTTGTTCTTATGAGAGATGGATTTTTCTCTCAATATTAATTTGTTCTTGATTTCTAAAACTTTAGTGCTTTGTGTTGAGTAATAAATGATGTTGTTGTGATTTTTGTATTTTTCCTTAATTGGTTATTGGAATTGTTACATGATAAATTTGGGGATTTTTGAGATATGCTTGTAAAATGAGAAATTGTGAATTTTGTAATTATTTGAAATTGTTGGTGAATTGAGAATATTTTGGTTTCCTCATTTGTATATGGTTGTTGTGATGGACTTGAATTGTCATCGAGAGATGCCGTAGAGTATTAGAGGTTAGTCTATCCCAGTGGGGGTGAGATGGTTTCCTAACACTTGTAGTGGATTGTCATTTGGTAATGCGACCACTATCATTCACTAGAGTTCGAACAAGGGATGATATATTTTTCCTGGGAAGGGACTCGTCACTGCCATTGGGATGGTAGACGCTCTTTCCTAAAATGCTTGTGATTGTAATTGTGATTGGTGGACTAGGTATAATCGTTGGGTAGATTCATGAGAAGCAATCAACATACATGATAAGGGGATGAACCAATATACATGGGATGATGGGTTTGATCGTCTTGCCGGTGCATTGGTATAGGACAATGCATCGGAAGGTGCCCTTCCTAAATGGTTTAAAGTTGAAAATGGTATATTGTTGTGAAATTTACTTTATCCTTTCACTTGATTATTGTTACGACTTAAACTTGAGATCAATTTAAAATGTCCTATTTTTCCTTCAAAAATTGATATATGTTATTTACGAAATGAGATCGACCGATTTTTATTTGTTTTCTAAACCTTGTTCGATTTTGGGAGGATTTTTCCTACAGAGCTTCGTGCTCACCCTACAATTAAACATTTGACAGATTATGTGTCAGAGGAGGAGGTCGGTACTAACTAGTCGGGCCATAGAGAAGCTTCATTAGAGGGGTTTTGGATCCCGAGTGAGACATCTAGAGATGTCGTTTATTTTTTGTGCTAGATTAGGAACGATTATGTACAATCATGTAAAATCTA